TCATTAATCTGAAGAGGTATTTTTAAGTCTTCCTCAACTGCGTACACCCCTTATGATTTTTTATGAGGCTGTTTCGGTAAACTGACTTCTAAAGACGCGTTTTGGCGTATACTCAATTCCAAGATGCCTCACACGTCAGAGAGAAGAAAAAAAAAAAACTCATGAGTTTCACAGAGCACAATGTAATTTTCAATTCCATGATTAATAAGCAACTTTGATTTCCATTCGTTCTATGTATTTCTATGTATTCGGTTCTATGGTGGTTCATGTATCCCATTTTGATTTGATTTGAGGTAAAAATAGACAAATGTGATTGAATGTTGTTTCTGGTAGTACAACCAGGTAAACTGGACTAATTTTGCTCTCTTTACAAAGAAACATGCAGTTGGTCCGTGTTCTACAAGTACGTATCCACGGTATGTTCAGAAAAACATATTGTATTATGGTTAAATTTATCACAATAATAATGTATATTGTTATATTGCCCAGCCCTACTGCCTCAAGTACATTAAGGATGTGACAGTGAACTGCTTGATTCAGCCAATGAACCGCCCAGCTCACTAACCAGTCAGCACTCAGTAGCAGTAATACTAGCGTCCGACAGCCCAAACCTGTTTGCTGTAGAAAAACAGAGTTATTGTTGTGTCTGCAGTAATTTTGGCAGAAAAAACACAATCCTTAACATATTTGCTATATTTTTGTAATTTTTTGATGGTGAAACAAAATTTCAATAGAGCAGATGAAAACTTGACAATACAAAATGTAAACTGAATGACAATTGAATTCATTATTCAGCTACGTAATTATTTAAATAATTTCATATAAAAGACTATATAACAAATTAAATGTATAGCAAAAAACAATAATAATTCTAGATGTCTACACTCAAAAGTCGTTCACAAGTTTGTTTTCATTAATATAAAACAAAATTGCGTTTTATATGGTGATATTTAGGGATACATTGATACCAATAACAATACTGGAATTGGGTATCGGCCCACTATCGTGCTCATTTCCTCAAACTCTATTTCATAAAAATGCACTGATACCAACTGTAAAATGACAGACCCAGTCAGACACTCGCAGTAAAAAACAAGAAATGAGGCTTCAATTGAAAAGGGCTTGACAAGAATCGTAGTCAGTGAACATGCATAGGTCAAATCTAACAGGGCAAAGTCAGTAAATCCAGAATCAGAGTCCAATACACGAAATGACAAATAATAACACTCAGGAAATGCTCAGTAGCAATACCTCATAACAAGGCTAAGCTAAAGCCCGGGCTTTCAAACTAAACTAAACAGGTCATAGAAAAAAGGGGCAACATCACACCCATTTATGAGGAGCCTGGCCACTTCCTATTTCCCCTGTTATACCAAAAACAGGACTGCAATACGCCAGAGTCTTCAATGAATGGGAGTAAAAGGAGCTCAATGGCTAAAAGCGAAAAGTTAAAATAGTTTCTAATCACTTGCACAGAACTTTCCTTTAATTTTAGAAAGTAGAAGGATGTAGTTCACTAAACAAGCAAAGAAAACTCACCTGTATGTTTCCTTTTTTCTACAGCAAACAGGTTTTGGGCAGCAGGACACTAACATTACTGCTACTGAGTGCTGATTGGTTGGTGAGCAGCTAATTGGCTGTTCATGCTCACTGACATTATGGATGTTCATGAAGCGGCGTTTTAAACTCCTATATTCCGAGTTTAAAAGCTTTTAAAAACATAGCAGCAGTGTTAAAATGTTTTATACTATGATTTATGCAAATGATTGTATTTTTTTACATTAAAAATGTTTAAGCATTTATAAACTATGATTTTGCTTAAATGCTCCATCTTAACCCATTCATTTTGGACTCACTCCAGAGCGCCCTCTAGCATTTGAGAAACCCGTAAGCCCTTACAGAGTGGTAATTCTCCTCTCTACATGTTCTCTGGCAACATATCAGGACTCATTGTGAATGGTGATAGGAGAATGGAGGAAGTTTATGAGTCATGTGATCTCCAAAAGATTTTTGGGAAATGGAGTGACACTAAGACTCAAGACCAGCTGATAGCATGTGACGTAAGCCGGGTGTACTCTGCCGAGCTAATGAACAAACGCTCTCCTAATGCAGAGAAGTGCTGCTGACCCTGTGAAGGTCAGACAGCAGTTTTCCGGTCACTTTAAACTTTCTGTCTTGGCATATTCCTGCCAGGCATATGCTGTACGATTTTAGCTCATTTTAAACGCACAGAAACACAATCACAACCATTTCCGCAGTAAGGGTGGAGGGAGGTAAGCTCACAACATGGAGGTGAACAAGTCAGCATTTCCTACTAAGTCCATAATGACTTTAGTATGTTTACCTGAATAGATTTGAGAGGTTTAAACATTAATATGGTGATTTTTTTAAACAGTCTTTGTAAAACGGGCTGTAGAGAGACAGTAGCTGCGTTCCAAAGTCTAGGCTGCAGCCGAGGTGGGCTGCATTTCTTGGCCGCTACGTCATAACAGGCTGTTCCAAAGTGAAGGACCCTTCATATACAGCCTAGAAATGCAGCCTATGTTCAGAGTGATTTCAAGGATGCAACTGATATATCCTTCCAGGCCTTCGGTTACCCACAGTTCTCTGCACACGAACAACGCGAAGGAAAAAAACACGAAAATGGCGGAAAACGAAGCCGTTGGAGCAGAGTTTGTTTTAAAATGTAAGTTGTTCATGTACTTGAATTCGTCTTTGTTACCTTCGTTAAAGTGTATAATCACTGATTAATTAAAGCATTCGTCCATATATCAAATATCGTCCACATATAAAATTTTATTTAAAAGTACTTGTATACGTGTAGTTTATCGCAGTACATAAGAACATCTCCTCCATTTCCATGAAGAAATGAAAAAGCAACAAACTCAATGCAACGGGCTCCATTTTCTCTCACCAGTTCCCTCACAAGTTTCACGCCGCTCTGGTGGCGTCACCACGCAGCCTCATTAGGACTGTTTCATTTGTGTGACCAATAGGCTACTAAGTAGGAGTTTTCTTTGGACAGTCCTACCGATGACCTGCACTGCCTCGGCTACAGCCTAGGCTTTGGAACGCAGCTTGTAAGGTGTATATTTCAGTGCACAGTGTGGTTAGCCGAGCTGCTGTAGCTCAGTTTCTAAGCATTGTTGCTCAGTACTTGGGGCACAGTGTGTTATTTTGAATGAAAAAGCTTTATTTGAAATTGTTCATAGACAGAGCTGTCTGCAGAGGCTGCTTTTCACATAGCATGTCAATCAAACTGAGCGCTTTCATACAGTGTGAATATCTAAATCATAAACTTCGTCCGTACATGATGTTCTATTTAAACATACAGTGTGAGCCACATAAGAACAAGATTTCTAAAAGGGCACAGTATATGTCTGAGTACATTCAACTACAGCTCAACCAGCCAAACAAAAGACTTCAACAAGACGTAAAACTCCACGAGTAAGCTCATCAGATGTGTTAGCCTTGGATGTGATTCCTGCTGTCACTGTGCTACAGAGACAGTTGTTGAAAGAGACAGATGAGGATCAAAACTATGAAACATACTTACTTATAGCTGTACAGAGGTGCTTTTCTGATGTGGAACAAAACACGCTCTTCTCCACTGCAGCACTGCTCAATCCAAGTAGCATAGCTAGCTAATGCACTTAATTTAAAATCAGCAGATTTGAATGATTTAACTATTAAGCTACATTGTAGCATTTACATTAACAACTACTTAACTCTAAGTAGGTAATTTATTATAGTGTCAGACTCTGTATCAGTGAATACTAAAAAAAAAATACTTGTACTTGATCTGAAAAAAATGGTATTGATGCATACCTAGTGTGAATATAGGTATTCTAATATTCTATTATAATAATTCTAATAATGCTATTCTACTATATACCATATTATTTGTGAAACCATTTTGAACTCATGTTGTGGCTTCTAATATTGCATACAGACATTGCTAGTTCATAGATTTGCTATAAATGCAGGAATATTGTATTAAAATCTACATTTTGACAAAATAACTGACAGAACAGGTACTTTTCAAAGATGTAATATTGCACCAAAGTGCGCCAACCAAAAAATTAAACTGTTGTGGGAATTTAACCACATGAAACCAGTTAATTTAAAATGAAAATTTAAAATCCTAAATAAAAAACAATTAAAGCACAGGTGTAAGCTTTTGCAATGGTCTATGAATTATATTAAAGTTTTTGCCTAAATATTTTCATGATGTGGCCGGACAGGCCGTACTTGAAGTAAGCCACATCAAGAATGGAAGCTATAATAAAATGAACATTCAAAATGCGTCATATTTGAAAATTAGTGATCAAAACTCAAGCCAGATAATGACTAGAAATAACTCTAAATAGATTTTGTAACTACTATGAATTATTCAGTAACTAATATGGGGGTAATGTAAGAGCAAGAATTGTGGGGTCATATGTGGATTCTTGTGGTTTAGGTACCAAAAACATGATGGATTCTTGATTTTCACATTGAGAAGTGAGAAAGTTTTCACAAGAAACCTGAACTTTTGGTTTTGGTTTTGGGATTTCTGACATGTTTTGAAATGCATGGTGTACTACTTGTTCCTGAAAATACCTCGCCCGTAAGTTCTTTGAGCCTTGTGTTATTGCATTGTCCTAGTGCTTGGGGGAGTATGTCGGTCGGAATAGCAGCAGAAAGCTGGACTCGAAAGAAGTGAAGCAAATGAGGCATGTTTACATTTCCCTCCAGCTTCCTTCATCACGTGTGTCCTTTCCCTTTGACATGTACAACAGATTACTGCATGAGCATAAAGGATTTGTTTGCAGGGTCCTACATTAGCTTTGAAAGCGCAGAGGTTTCATACTTCAGGACCTTCGAATCACACTGCTTGCCACCGGGCATTGGTTCTGAGCCATCAGTCAAAGTCATACGCGACTGGTGCTGTTCTGTTCTCTTACATAACTGGAGGGGGAGGGTGGGGGAGCACTGAGAAACAGGAGGAGAGAGAGAGAAAAAGCAACAGAGATAATAACAGAGAGAATGTGATTGGAAAACCTGATGTTCTTCAGCGTGTCCATTGTCACAGGTATGGAGGGGGTGAACATGGACCGAGGCTTCTTCAGGAAGGTGGACGTGCCGGACCATGCACACTATATCGTGGCTTTCTTCGTGGCGGTCATTGGGGCTGTGGGAGTCATGGGGAACGCACTGGTCATGTACGCCTTTTTCTGGTAGGTCACCTCAGCTTATGCTCTTCTGAAAGGCAAAAGTTTAGTTTCACACTAAATCAGGTCATTAGAGGGGCTGGGTTCTACTTTTTTCCTGCATTTTTAAGGCTGTCAAAGTTGATGCATTACAACTTGTTATTGCAATAAATTCTAAATGCAACTAATTGTTTTAATAACCTGTTTTCCTAGTGTGACCCTTTGAGCCAGCTGTGGTTATGCAGGCTGAAGCCCAGCTGATCGCATGCTGTATGTTGCTATGGTAGAGTCTATGATTGTGGCCCTGTTGTTCAAATACAGCTTTTAAACGTTTTTTAAAGGGAGCCTTCAGCACACCACATGAAAATTGCTCAAAGGAGACATATGGATAAATCAACAAGCAGCAAACTGACATAAAGCAACAGCAAAATATATATATATATATATATATATATATATATATATATACTCACTCAGTGGTTGGCACATGCAGCCACTGTTGCTCTAACTCAACATCAGAAACAGCCGGAGTTCCTTTTAATGTGATCATTTTTGTTAACGTCTTATAATCACTTTTTTAATTAAAGGGGAATTTCACCTATCTCTGTATTATTCAGTAGTTTATGTAAACAAAGTCATTCAGAGCAGTTTGGTGTGAATGATTTATCGTAGACAAATGTACCAACTCTGATTTCTTTACAGTGGTGCTGATAGAAACCAGGGGTCACTGCATCTACAATGCAAATATGGCCATTTTATTCACTATCCAAAACCACCTGTGTACCTACACATGTCTTCTGAGTTTTATTTGTATTGTTGATAATGGTAAAATATGGTAAATCTAAAAAAAATCAGTTCCTACTGGGGACTAGTTTCCCTTATTTTACCCTGCTTCTACCCCTCCATTATGAGAAATACATTTTAGCTTCTTAAAACTATCGTAAAATAATGTCTCAGACACCAGGCATCGTATTCATACCCGTTTCATGTAGCAACATTTTGTGAGGCATTAAATGCCTCAGACATCTGGTTCCTATCACCACCACTGTGAACAATTCTGGCTCAATACGTTTCTAAAACGAAGCATTTCACATCAAACCACTCTGAACTTGACTTTGTTTACGTCTTAATTATTTAATTATTATGTGACAAATCTGTGGAATTCCACTTTAATGTAAACAGGCTACTTTTGTTATTGTACCTTTAAGACTGTATGTAAACAACCTCTGTTTTAATTGGCTGCCCTGTGTTGTGTCTTATTCAAGAAGTGGTCCAGTCTGAAATGTGTGAAAATATGACTCTTCAGACTGAAATCCTTGGGGATATGGGAAAAAAATGACCTCCATTCAGATGGTTAGAAGGCTGCAGTAACACATTAAACTCTATGTAACTCTACTAATAACTAACAGCTACAGGAACAGCACTCTTTATCACTTCAGCAAGAGTGGGTGGGGTAAATGCTGTAGGCTGGATAGGTGGTCATATATGTTTTTTGTCATTGCGTAATGAGATTCTTCAATAGACACACTGATAAGAGCTGCAATGACAACAAATTACACTACATGCATGTAGCATAATTAGGCTGGCAGGAATGTAGTGTTAGAAGCCACGTCTAAAATGAGAGCAGTGGTGCTTCCTTGAGGGAGGTGTAGATCCTCAGTCTTCTACGTGCAAAACAAGTGACTTAACCACTCTGCTATAGCACCAATTACATACATGTACATTCCATCCTTACTTTCAGCCTATAAAAAAGCTTTCAGCATGATAACTATTCTCACTCCCAGAACGAGTGAAGCAGAAATGCCTACTGTAACAACAAACCTGCATTACCATAAGGGGCATTTTAATGAATAAAATAGATTAATTTTTTAGGCCCAGGCTGCTTTTGCACTTTAGTTTTCATAATCCATACATAGACTACATACATTGACTCTAGAGCTAACAGTTTGGCCCAGTGTGCTGAATACACTTGCACAAAAGCTCAAAATTACTTTGGGTTAACATACTTACTTTGCTTGTCTTTTTAAATCACATTCACAGTTTCGTTTCCCATCTCTTCAGTCAGACTTGCTTGCAAGGTCAAAAGTCTTTAGAAAAGTATGTTGATGTTATTGACTGTTAAAGCAGTTTGATGTTTTATGGCCCACTCCAAGCTAAGCAGGCCTTGTTTCATTCATGTGTGAGTAAATGACTGCTAATCTTGTCTTATTTGCTTTACTGACTTAGAGAGTTGGGTGTGCTGATGGTACTGACAGTCAGACTTATTTTAGTCATAGCTGAGAGCGACAAAGCATATTATAAGTAATACCCAAAGACAGCGTAAACATTCTGGTCAGTGCTGATTCACCCAGGCACACGCCTTCGGCACTTTCAGAACCAGCCGTAGTGTCCCAAGCTGTTGCCTGGTCACCCAGGTGTGGGCACCTGCTATATTTTACGAAAATGCTGTCACTGAAAAAACTTAGAATGCTTAATATATTGTTGCTGCTGGCCAAATTTGAACTCACATCGGCTATCAGTGAATCGAGCTTATAGATGACCCAAACAGAATGTGGTCATGTTCTTGCATCGTATACAGAGATTGCACGATACAACTTTCTTTTCTAATACTGATACCAATTTTGGACCCTTGAGTGTCAGCTGATATCGATATTGCAACCTTAAGTATCACCTAAGGTCGATATTGAAACGACACTGAAATTAATATTGATTGACATAGACTGAACTTGAAAATGAGCTATTTCTAATTCCTGTTCCTTCACTTCACTTAAGATTACCATCTAAAAATATTGAAACCTTGAGTACAAACCAACACTGACACCATGAAAAGTACTCAGTTTCAATACTGACGCCATGAGTATCAGCCAGTACCAGTACTAAAATGGCTTATCTTCCAATACCTATACCAATACTGAAACGATGAGTATCAGCCAATATCAGCATTCAAACCTTGAGTATCAGCCCATACTGATATTGAAATCTTGAATATTGGCTGATACCGATATTGAAACCTTGAGTGTCGGCCAATACCGATACTGATATTGAAACCTTGAGTATCAGCCAATACCAATGTTGAAACCTTGAGTAACAGCCAATACTGATACTGTTATTGAAATCTTGAGTATTGGCCTAAATCGATATTGAGTACTGGCTGATAATAATATTAAAACCTTGAGTATTGGCTAAAATGATACTGATATTGAAACCTTGAGTATCAGCCATTATTGGTTTTAAAACCTTGAGTACAGCCAATGCTGATATTGAAACCTTGAGTATCAGCCCATACTAATATTAAAACATTGAATTTGATATTGAAACCTCAACTATCGGCCAATACTGGCATTAAAACTTTGAGTACAGTCAGGCTCAATATTGAAACCTTGAGTACGGCCAATGATAATATTGAAACCTTGCGTACAATCAATGGCGATATTGAAACCATGAGTATTGGCTGAGCCCTGCGTTGGACTGGCAACCTGTCCAGGGTGTATCCTGCCTTCCGCCCAATGACAGCTGGGATAGTCTCCAGCACCCCACCGCGACCCAGAAGGATAAGCAGTTTAGATGATGGATGGATGGATGGAGTATTGGTTGATACCAATATTGAAATCTTAAGTATCGGCCAATACAGGCACTGAAACCTTGCATATTAGCTGATACTGATATTGAAAAAATGGTACTGATATCGACCAGTACTAATCCGACATATTATCTTTAAAAACTACCACGCGTTAAAATGATCTATTTTTAACTAAGACACCGCTTAAGGTGAGGTAAGTAGGTTGTCATGCTCAAACTACCCGAACACTCTATTACCCCACAGGAAGAAATACACAGCTAACAACATCATATCACACAGAGTGTGTACTATTTCAGAATAGACTTGTTACAGGATTGAACCAGACTCATTCTTTTCTCCTCTGATATGCAATCCAGAGCCTGGTACTGGTGCAATCTCAAATTGCAGGTATACCAGAGGGTCTGGCTTATGACATACATGAAGATCATGTGATACAGTATTGCACAGAAGGTGCAACAGAGTTTGCCAAGCCTGTACATTGTGACATGATAAACCTCTAAGCAGAGGAGTAAAGTAATGAAGAAGAAATAGCACTCAGGTTAAATTTTGGAGTACTTTTTACACCACTCTTTAAAAGACTGCAGTTATCGCACTGTTTGCAGTGGGCTTCGGTGAAAGCGTCACTCTGTCTGGCGGGCCAAGGACCTCAGCACATTAGGGTGAAACAACAGTGGGCTGAAACTGTGGCCTTGGGGAACGCCAACACGCTTTTTGCATTTTGTCCAGCTTTCGCAATCACAGTAGCGATTTGCTCTCTCTGCAACTGTGCTAATCTCTTGAAGGTCACATCCCTGAAGACGAAACATTTTTCTGGACGCTCCCAGTCAAGATGAAGATGCAGAATGAATTCATGTGACCACAGCATGCACAGCTAATTATTGTAATCTTCACAACAAAACAGTTAAATACGGTGGGGTTGCATCCAGTACTAGTCAACAAGTCAATGGGATACACTTGATTGAATGTAGGTTTTTCATGATCATAAAGATATTTTGATCTAAAGCCTTCTGCTTCGGTACTTGTACTTTCTTTGTAAAACATATCAACAGTAATGTTTGTACCAGCTTCTTCAAGCCTGTTGGAACACCAAGAGTGTATAAGTCTGCATCAAGGCAAAGGAGGGTCTTTTTTTTGAAATAATAGAATAAAATAGAATGAAAAAGAAATAAAATCTAGTGTTAACATTCTTTCATTCAGCGTTAGGGTTTTTAATCCAGAGGAGCTACAGCCTGTGGGAGATAACAACCTGGCAGTGTCTTACATTATCACAGATAGCTGCTTTCTTCACCTCACTTTTAAACATCCTTGAGTGTTTAGAACTTTAGAAGATAAAATAAGATAAGATAATCCTTTGTTAGTCCCGCCACAGGGGAAATTTACAGCGCTACAGCAGCAAAAGGAGGGCACTCAAGAAAACAGTAAGAAGAAGAGGATTAATAAACAAGGT